TATTTCCTTTTATTCTAACAAATGTGAGATATACTTTATTGCCATGTAATATTTAAAGATAAAAAGGAATATAAATATAATATTCTTTTTCAAAAGTAATAATAAAATATTTTTCTTGAATATTGATACGTGACAATGCTATAATATTCTTTCAAAAAATGGATTTTAATTCTTACTTCTAAGAGAATAATAACAATATGTTTTTTGAAAATATTATACGAAATAAAAAGTTACATTCTAGCATGTCATTCAATTGGTATAGTCAAAATAACATTTACCGCTCCATTATATAATTTAGAACTTGTCTGGGTGAGTTGTTTTGCATCGAAATAATTGATTTTGGAGCCGTTTGTTGCAGCTGGCGGGTCCCATCATTGAGATAAAGAGTCAAACAATGCAACTGGCCAGTACTTGCAACAGATTGATTTTCAATTAAAATTGGCTTCCCAACTCTCCCAGACAGGCCCTTAAAGTTAAAAAATACTAATATTTTCTCTGAACGAGAAAAAGAGTTTCTCTATAAACTCAATTGATTAGAATCTCGTCTTCTTTAAATGCCTCAACTTGGTTAAAGATTCGTGGGGTCAAAAGATGAACAAGTCTTGCTCACTCATCTACTAGATTTTGAATTGATAGTGTTATAAATTAAAGAGAAAAATGAAGAAAATAGACTAGTCAATTGATTTGTGCATATTTTATTGAAAATCAAAAACCAATATTTATAACCTTTGTTTGAGCTCCTTTGTTTTAAAAATTTGATTTTGGAATATTAGGCCATGTTCTCTTTGTTTTTTTCAGGTCGTTTTCTGTTTTCGATTTTTCAAAACATTGAAAACGAGTTCTCTTTTCTATTTTCGAAAACATGTTTTCGAAAACAAAAAAAAATGTTAAGATAACTCAAAACGTGAAAAATCACGTTTTGAGCGTTTCGAGGCAAAAGACGCTAACAAATGAAAATGCGGAAAACGGTGTATTTTTCCATTTTCTTCAAAGTTCTTTCTCTTCCTTGAGCTAACAATCTGCCGCCTCATTCCATCACTAACAACCACCACCCACCACCTAAGCCGTCGGACCCATACACCATCGGCACCCCTCACCTCCCTCTACAACCTCCGACCATCTCCTGCCCTCCAGACCTCCGGAAACAGCACCAATTTCCGTCCAAAATCGCGACCACAGTCACGGTTTTTTCCCAATTACTTCCACATTCGGCCACCATCTCGATCGTGGAGCACCACCACAATATTACTCTCAAACAGCCGTATCTACTTCTACAATGGGTCACCCTCAATTTCATCCAGAATCGACTAAGCTTGTTGGAGCAGTATTTGAGATTTGTGAAAAATTTGGGTCCAACTTCTGTTGATATTGTTCTGAATCTTGAACCAGCTTTGGGCAACCCACTTCTGTAAATCGTGATATTCGCCCAAGTGATTCGGATGCAAGTGAGTTAGAGGTTAGGAGGGCTCTATTCTAACCCAGGAAAAGAAGAGTTCTCAATTTTGATAAGTTTTATTTCTTTTGTTTGTTTGGGTTTCTGTTTACTGAGTTTGGTGATTTTAGTTGATAAAAGTAAAATTTTAATAACACTTTGTCTAGTATTGGAACAATATATGTTTTATTTAGAAACCTTCAAGCTGTGGAATATAGTGTGGTGATTATTGTGAATATGTCTTATTGAAATTTGGATGTTATGAATTCAAATGTGTAGGGAACTATGATCAAGGTAAAGACACTCATTCCGTCTATTGCTTCCTCCAACAGATTCAATTGCATCATTTCTTCCTCGGATTCTTTACTTCTTAACTTAATCATCTGATTCAGTTTTGGTTTCAGGATTTCTGGCAGACAAACCTTGTTACTCTATTTATTTGTAATTTGGAATACCATTATAATATATGCAAGGTGAAATTTATTTAATCTTACCTAATCGTATGAACTAATTGTTAATCAATTGTACTATACCTGATCTCTTATCCTGTAACTTTTGCCCTCATTTAGCTCTCAATGATGCATAGTGTTTGTTTAGGGGATGGATAGTTGGCATATATCTTGACATGACCAAAGCAGGCGATTTAAACTGCATTTGTCCCTGTTGTTATCTTCACATGTCAGCATAATAAATTTCGTGAAAGGAGATCATGATCGCTTTAGGTGGTGGTCTTCGGGAAAAGAGAGTGTTTAGTGCATGTGCTATGTGACTTGAATAATTATCATTATCAGGATGCCTTTTATTCTGCTTGTCTATATTCATTTTTGGCAAGATCACGACCTTAACCTCTGAATTTGATATTTTCATGTAGTTGCATGCATTTGTGGAGTATGAATTTGTCAAGCTAGCAGAGAAAGCAGTATGTGATTCTTACCCTTAACTCATGTTCTCACCCCTGAGAAACTTCTTAAGTCAGATCAATTTGGCTTCTTTACAATTGGTAATCTGTGCTTGCTCTTGACAGGTCGTGGAACTAAATGATGCGGGCAATTAGAGGAACAGTCTAAAAGTCCGTTTGCTGATAAAGAATGCAGTATGTGCCAAACAATTTTGTTTGTTTTGTCTATTTATTTTTTGAGGGCAAAATTTATATTCTTAATGAGAAGAAATACTACTGCTGCATTACAGATATGTTTCACAATTCAAATGCTACTTGGTTCATTACGTGCTAATTGAACTTTCATGTATGTTTTATTAGGAAAAATGAAAATGCAGCTTGATTCATAGTTGTAGATAAGTATTTAAATATTGAGAACAAGGCTACAAAAAACCTATAATTTTAATCTTATGATTCATAGTTTTAATAGTTTAGATGTTGATGTCCAAGACTAGTCCTTTTCCTCTCACTTTTTATGCCTCTGGAGTGATATTTATGCAATGCCTTTAAAGGGAAGGTAGGGGAAGTGTGGTTAAAGTACCAGTTAAGGATTTGTTGTTTCATGACCTATGTTAGGTTTTTGGTCCATGAATTTGTCTTATATTAATATCTTCACTACTACTTCATTACACAGGTGAAATCTGCTCAAGTGCGAGCAAAGAAAGTTCATGATGGTCAGTCCAATGGTGAGATAGATGAGGCAGTCGTGCCAGAGGGGCAGCGGTTCAAGGAAAAACATTTAGAGGATCCATTGCAACAGGTAAATGCTCAGCCGTACGAGTATCAAGGATAAGAGACATTGGGATTCCTGTTCTTATTGTTATTTATTTCTCTCTGTTGGAAAGTGAATGGGATGACCCAGTTGGAATATATATCATATGTGAAGGGCACATTCCTGTCATCGCGTCCATATCTTACTTTTTGGTAAGAGAGAATGAACACGGGTTGCTCCTCTGCCCAATTTTTGTATATCTCACTCGTTATCTTTAAGAAGTTATAGCTCAAACGCATTGTAATAAACTTCAAAAATGTAAATTTAACAATTGTAATAGGCAAATGTATTTGAATTTGTCTCAAAATTTCAAGATTCACCAATTTCAAAATTTATATGTTATTTAATACTATATTAACATTAAACTATTAAAACTTATTGAATAATCTGATTTCTTGAATAAAATATTATTAAAAAATTCTCAAAGTTTCAAAATAAACGCATTTTCCATTTTTATGTTTTCAGAAACAATTTTTTAGAATGGCAAAAAGAACGCATTTTCAGAAATTTCAAAACAGATACTCAAAACACAAAATACAAAATGAATTCAAAACTCAAAACACAAAATTGAAATATAAAGAGAACAGCCCCTTATTTTTAGAAAAATGTATGGTTAAAAGTAAATTAATGTGTTTGAGCCACATTATTTTGGAAGAATATATTTTAGAATAGTAGATTGATGGAGAATGTGTGGTTGAAAAGGAAAGAAAAGTTATTGATGTGATGAAAAATATTATTTTATTTTAATGTGAAGATTTTAATGTGACTCAAACAGGGGCATAATTTTTGGATTTATGTATTATATTATTTTATTGACAGAATGTGTGGTTAATAAAAGTAGAGAGAAAAATGAATTAAAATTTAACGAGGGCCAAACATGAACATAGATAAAAGTTAGGCCCTGTTTGATGGGCATTAAATTCCATGGAACTAGGAATTTCTTTTCCATTTCCCACCACCTAACGTCATGTTTGATGAACCAAAAGTTGATGAGAATTTCTTTTCTTGCTCCTTGCTCACGCGCCTGATTTTTCTCCTTTTTGGGGAAAATCAATTCCCACCAATTTTAGAGGAATTGATTTTCCAGTTGACTGCTTTTTTTTTTTTATTTGCAACGGAAACAAATTCCATAACCAATTGTAATTTTTTTTCACTTTAATGGATAATTTTTATGTAAAATAAAGTCAAACGAACACTTAATTTTTATTAAAAAAAATGATTTTTTAGGGAATTTTTTTTTTTTTTTTTTTTTTACTTTTTGGCAATGGAAACAAATTTTATAACCAATTGTAGAAAAAATTATCATTTTAATGGACAATTTTCATGTAAAATAAAGCCAAACGAACACAAAATTTTAAAATTTTCCGGGTGGAAAATTAAATCAATCAAACACACTTAATTAACAATTCCTTNAAAATTTTCCGGGTGAAAAATTAAATCAATCAAACACACTTAATTAACAATTCCTTGTAAAATAATTTCTAGACAAGTATTTTATCTGAAATTCATTTTCTTTCCACCTATTTTACATCCTTATAATCAAATCGACTCTTAGGGTTAAAGTGAACAAGACATATAATAATTAGGATGCAGTTATTTGACTATTTACTAATTTGTATTTAATTTACAAATTTAAAGAAAGATGAAATGTATTGGTAATTTCATTCCATTATCATAGCACGCTTGGGCTTGGGTAAACCTTAAAATAACTTTTTTGTGTTAATTCACGTATATTTTCAGTCGCAGTCGCAGCCTTGCAGGGAGGGATGCGTCAGCTTATCTTGTAAGCTAACCGTCCATTGGACTGACTCCCACAGGGAAAAGCGAGGAGGTGAGGTGCGGTGACCGAAACCAACAAAATGCCTCCAATGAATCAGTCATTTCAGGTTTGCGCTCTGAATTATTTATTATATTTTGATTTTTGAGCCTGCTCGTAATGTGGAATGGTGTCTCCATTTTGAAAAGATAATATTGGGTTCATCTTCAATGGCTCGTCGACAAATTCTGACGGAGATGGGTTATGAATTCACAATCATGGTACTTTTCCTTTTACCAATTATATCACATATATCATCATACGGGGACGAATGCATTCTTTCGACTGCTTGTTTGTTTCTAGTGAAAATGCAATTTTTTTTTTGGCACTTCGTTTGTTGTTGTGTGTAATTTAAAAATACCAATATCTCAAAAGTAATAGTAACTTGTATTTCTCTGACTTAAATTTTTTTTATATTCCATGAGTTGCTTAGGAAATTGAAGTACAGTAATTAGAACATGATGGAGAAAATAAACTTTTATCCTTAATGGTTAAAGAGTTTAATACAGCTCAACAAGATTTATCATTACAGCATCACGGTGTTTAATTTTACAACGGCGACACTAATTTGTCTTGTTTTGAGGCTCAGTCTGCAGATATAGATGAGAAAAGTATCAGGAAGGAAAAACCAGAGGATCTTGTAATGGCTCTAGCGGAGGCAAAGGTATGAATACACTTGAATTGATTACTATCATTCTAGATTTATACTTCCAAGTTCTATGTCTCACACATCCTGCATTTGGATTCATTTTCTACTTAAAAAAATTGCACTTATCCTTTTCATCTTTCTTATGGTTTACAATCTCAATTTATATGTTGTTTTAAATTTTTAATGTTCCAAGTAGCATCATTTGTAAGTTGAATTTTAAATGTGATATCTGCATCATTATTAAATATGGTGGTCAACTTTTTCAAGCCTCGGGATATTTAGTACTTTAAAAAGCCGAGGTGCTCTCTCTGATCTCTAAATAGGTCGTAGGAGATGGTAAAAGTGGCTTTGTGCCCAATTATGCATGGTATTCATAATTATCTCTGTAGTTCCATCATTTCTCATGAAGTTTGTAATTTGGGTGGTTTCAATATAAATATAAAATGTTGCCACCTTTTTCTTTTTTTCTTTTTTTTTTTGGTTTAAAAGGAAGATAAGCCCTTGTTTGAGCCCCATTCTCCAATAATACGTTTTTCTCCAAATTCATTTTTAACCACATATTTTACTTAGGCCTTGTTTGATTTGGCAATTTTTCCATTGAACTTGGAAATGAAATTCCATCTTCCACCAAAAGTCATGTTTGATTGGGAAAATTTTCTTGGCAATTCATTTTCCATCTTTTGTCTCACAGGTTCCAATTCCATGGTTTTGAGGAAAATCAATTCCCACCAATTTGGTGGGATTTGGTTTTCCAAGCTACTTTTTTTTATTTTGGGTAATAGAAATAAATTATATCCCCAATTATAACAAATCCTATCATTTTAATGGACAATTTTCATGTAAAACAAAGTCAAATGAACACCAAAAGATCTAAAATTTCAATATTTTCCACGTGAAAAATTGTACTAATCAAACGCAATTAATTAACAATTCACAGGAAAACAATTTTAGCTAATTCAATTCGCTGATATTTATTTTCTTTCCACCCAAATTTCGCTCTTGGAATCAAACAAACCCTTAATAAAATAATATTATATGCAAACCTAAATCTTTTTCCTAAAATTCACCATTCCAAAATCTATTTTTACCAAATAATGTGGTTCAAACAAGGGCTTAGAAAGATTCAAAGTGTATAAATAGACATGTTTGAAGATTAAAATTTTAGTTCAAGTGAATATCATCTCCTTTCTAGACAAGAAATGCTGAATTAGGGAGAAATATAAATTACTCCTGAATATTAAATTTACTTGTGAGTTTTGATTTATGCCCATATCAATGGCAACCATTTTGAGATGTTACAAACAATAAAATATATCAATGAAAATTGCTTAATTTGTGTGCCTCTCAAATAAATCAAGCAATGACCCTTGCATGTTAATTATATTTAATTTTTGTATACTCATATTCCTCTTAAAGTTGCAAGTCTTTAATACTTAATACCAGTTTCCGTATCTCATGTAAATTGCTTATAGCATAAACAAGACTACATATGACATTCAATGAAAGAATATAAACTTTTTTAATGTAATGGAATAGCTTTTCTGCAGGCCTTATATATTAGGATCTTAGTCTTAGATGTGACAACCCAAATTCTTAACAATTTGAGTGTCACTAAAATTTAAATTAAACTTAAATAAAATGGTTGAAATGAATAAATAGGATTTTTTATAAAAATAATTACGATTCAATGTTATTCATAATAAACGTATTTTTAAAGAAAATACATTTGACATAAAGAAATCTTAAAATGACTTCAACCTAAATTAAATAAAATTTGACATAACTCCATGAAAATTATTTTAAATATCCCACGATGGTATTCATCTCCGCATCGACCGCCTTGAATCATTAATTTTCTGGAAAGGGAAAAAAACAAAATGTGAGATAAAATTTCAATAAGTGTGCGTAAGTAATTTTTGTTCTTATACATGCATTTCAAGGAAAATTTCATATTTGCATAGGGAGACATGAAAAGTGACCCTAACTTAGATAGTACCAAATTTTCGTACGTAGCGCTACTATATTCCAGTTTGTTCTTACAAATCTTATACATAATACGAACCATAACTTAACTTAGCCTGAAATAACATATATATAATCACTTACGTAATAACGTAATACACACTTACCTTTTCACTTGACAAATCAAAATGATAGAAGAAGTGATCGTCGGAGAGAGATCCTTGAGTCGCGTGTGGGGTTGAGTATTCACGTGTGATTGTGTAAGTGCATGACTATATTTTATATGAAAAGGACAAGAGAAAGAGTAAAGGTAGAGAGACAAAGTGATAGAGATAGAGAGGGAGAGTGTAAATAGTTGGTGATGGGTACTTTGTATTGTTGGGTTTGTCTCCAATTTTTAATGTAAATTTTTGGATCATGTATAGAAAAGTGAAAGGAAACGGCTAGATGTTAGGCATAGTCAATGTATAAATGGTGGATTGTTTTGAAAGTGGTCAAATCAATTGACTTGTTTTGAAACTTGGTGTAAATAATGCATGTGGTCAAATCAATTACCTTTATTTATGTGATCAATTCAATTACATTGGCTTGAAATGTGGTGTGAATAAAGCAAGTGGTCAAATAAATCTTAAATCATAACTAATTGGCATAAATACATATATTTTACGCATGATTTCATCTAACGTTCAAGATAACTCCCCACTTTAGTCCTCAAATAATTGGCCAGTAATCAATAAGGTCAGTAGATTAGGCCAATAATCAATAAGGCCATTAGACTTTAATAATAGCAACAATTAAGTCCTACATTTAAATATAACGACTGGTAGTAAAAATTCGGGACGTTACAGTAGATATGTTCTAATTGACTCAAAATGCACCCTGCAAAAGTTTGCGTTACTGTTGTTTTGGTCTAGTTGTGAATGATAGTTTTGATATTTTAATTTGTTAGGCTGAAGCAATTATGTCCAGGCTTGCAATTACTGACCATTTAAAGGAATTGACATGTTCCACACTGCTAATTACTGCAGATACGGTATGTATATTTATTCTTTTCATCCTTAATTTTTTGTCTGAAAATTAAATAAGTCTTGTTGCTTGATTTGCATCAATGTATACGAGGTTCCATATTGTTACTTAATGGCATAACAATTTTCGAATTCTTTTGAATTGCTCCATTCCAATCTTCAATTTAATTCTATCTAGAGTTCAAAGTCGCCATGAGATTTGTGCAAGGGTCATTTAATTTTCTTGATCTCAAAGTCTGAATTTCACTGCATATTCTCCTTATGAAAATTTACAAAAATGTTACTCCTATGTATGCCTCTTGTTTATAAACAGTCAAACCACTTTTTATTAACACGTTTCGAGGGATCCGCAAGTACTATCTACTTATCCACTACTCATTTGTAGAATTTATAATTTAAACCTTTTAAAACACTTCCCAACCATATCAGTTGCTATGAACATATGACCTCCATGCTATTCCTTTGTGAAAAATGAATTACTGGACACGAACTCGTATTTCATTTAACGGAAGTATTGCGTGTCAACTTTTCCACTAAAAAGGGAGGATGTACATTCATTGAAAAGTTCAATACTTGTCTAGCATCATATAAGATCATTTCAATTTTCTCTATCTAAACAATTATGCTCATAATTCAGAATGCATGAAAGTGCTATTAGAGTGTCTATCATCGTTTTGGGAGGCTTTTGATTGGAAAGATGTCCCTTGAAAAATCAACATCATTTAAACATCAACTTCAAAGTTTAATAGTTTCATTTCTCTTTGTGCTAATCTTCTTTTTGCAGCAACTTAATGAACTTGTTTCTCTAGGGTATTTTCATAAAATTAAATTTTATAACATATTCTTCCAATTCCTGCAAATATCACAATATTTTAACTGGGCATCTCAATATATAAAATACTAATTACTTGGATTGGTCTAAAAGTTTATCAAAATTATCCTCTTGATTGAGGAAAAATGAGTTTTGTAATAGTGATTTTAGGAGAATATGTGGTTACAAAGTAGGAAGAAAATTAGATTTGTGTAAAATTATTTATTAGGAGAATGTGTGGTTGAAAATGGGTTTGGGAAAAATGAGTTTTTAAAGAATGGGGCTCAAACAAGGGCTATATGTGTTCAAGGAGTCATGAATTCTACATTTATGGTCAAGCAATATGAAATAAGCCAATCATACTGTTGTGGCTTCTTCATTCTGATGATTTTTCTCTTGGTTGGGAATAAATTATTTGAAGTTTAATCTTACCTACATCTCATCAATATCTAGGTGGTGGTGTATGAAGGGATTATCAGAGAAAAACCATCAAGTAGGGAAGAAGCACGCCAATTTATCAAAGGTTTGGTCCATTGAATTTCTCATCAGCATTTTCTACTGTATGAAATAGTTAATTGTGGTATTATATTTTCATTTTGCAGATTATTCCGGTGGCAGTGCTAGAGTTGTGGGATCTGTACTCGTAACCAACCTGGTAACAGGTAGTAGAGAAGGAGGATGGGAAAGTGCAGAGGTACATCATTTCTTCTATTCACAACTACTTGGTTTTCTGAGTATAAAAGATAAAACAAGAGGGCTATTGGTCAACATATGGTATGTGCATCTTCTTGTATTGCATGAACAAAAAGTAGAACTTACTTTGAGGTTACGTTCTTTTCAAAGTCACTTCTTCTACTAACAAAACTTAATTTTCTTGGAAGTATGAACTTCCTAAAAGAAATTTTTAAGCACAGTCAAACATACTCTGAATCCCATTAGTCAATACTGAGTGGACTGCTTAGAGATTGACGCTATCAACTTTTGGCAATGAAGTTTTTATGCTATTGTATTTTGACTGTAATACACTTGTGTTGTTATGCTGTATCTTATGATTTGTGAGGTTCCTTTTACTGTGAAGTTGGCTAGAAGATTAAGCCCTTGTTTGATTCTCATTATTACAAAACTCATTTTTTATTAAACTCATATTTGGTACTCAATCTCACAATAAATATTTTGTACGTAAATCCAAAAAATTTTCTCCAAAAATTAACTATTATAAAACTCATTTTTTTGAAATAATGTGCATCAAACAGGGGCTAAACATATCAATTTCATATCATTTTGTTTAGATGAGTAGCTTTTGCTAGAAAAACAAATAGAGTTATCCACAGAACTGTAAATTGGAAACTGTAGGTATTACTTGTACCTTGTATTCAGTACACCTTGACAACAGAACAACAATAAATAGGACATTGACATGAATAGGTGAAGCAGCACATACATAGACACCTTGACGTATGATTTTTTGTAAAAAAACAACACCGACACATCAGTGATTTGCCACATGGCATGCCGGATTCGTGCCTGAGCATGTCTAGAAGTGTCCCTCGATTGTCAAACATTTTACAATTATATGAGAATAAGACTTGCCATGAGGGTCTGATAGGTTCCAGGTTAGGGAGGGTAGTATGGGTATTTTCAAAATAATTGGTTGAAGCCAAACCGTTGGAAGGGGTGTAGGGGTCTCAATTCATTTTAGGCAGAATTTGGGTGTAAAATTGGGAGAGAGATGGGCTTCTCGAATGCTCATCAAGCCATTGTAATTCCTTGCAAATAATTTATATTCTTCACTTGCAAGTTAAATAATCAGAAATTAGGTTCCTATCAGTGTCAGATGTGTATGGGAGCGTACCATGAGTGTCGGCGACCAATACGTGTCGCAAACGGACATGCCATCTCAGTAGGAGTGCATCTGGGCTCCATTGGTTGGTATCAACTTATTGAGCAAATATCATAGCTTCTATGGAGAGACGTGGCTGTAACTTTACGAGTGAAGCAGAACTAGTTCTCCATTGCGAGAGTGGTATAAAGAATTATGTAACTATGTTGTGTCTTATGATTTCAAGGTTCCTTTTTCCAATAAGCTGGCTAGGAGATCAAACATAGAGCCATTTCATTTCATTCTCTTTAGGTTTGTAGCTTATGTGAAATAAACTCAGAGAGTTGTCTGGAGAACTTTACATGGGAAAACTTAAATGCCTGCAATGTTGGTGTAACTAGTGGCCATCTTAATTAGCATATGTACAAGCGATCTAAAAACTGGATAAACTTGCATGTGGGCATGAATTGTACATCATATGAAATATCTATATCCACTTCTGAGATTACAACTATTATTTTCCTTTTCAAATAAACAAAATGGAAATGTACCTGCTTCTGCTCAGTGATTATTGGTGCCTGAGTTGAAAAGTTTACAAAATGCATGTTGTACGATTAATAAAGCAACAATTTATGTGGTTGTACATGTCTTGTCTTGCTTTAAAGAAACTGTTACTCACAAGAACACTGAGATCCGGTAGAACAAGTTTTGGAAAGAACAATTAGACCAAAATTGACATGGCGTTATGGTTTCATGAAATTTTTTCCATTGCATTTTGAAATATAATTTTCTTCTATGTTTCACTACAATAATGGAGTATGTACAGTATCCTTTTGTACAAGAATGACCAAAGAGCATCTATGCAAAAAATATTCCTTCAACAGAAAATATGGTGATTCATTGTGATGAATCGTCACTTCTAGAATAAGTTATAATAATCCAACGTTTCCCCTCAAGTGCAACTGTGATGCATCCTTCACTATAAGCTTGTCCTTGAAGTAGTAATGTTGAGAAATTGATACAGGCTGGCTTAAGATGTCGGCCACTTTCTCTTCCGTGAGAATGCACTTCCAATTCATTTGCAGCAACTTTACGCTTGGTATAATTTATATCAATTTCTATATGCTTTGATCTAGCATGATAGACGGTGTTCGAAGTGAGCAATTTAGCACCAACATTGTCACGCTGAAGTATTGATTCGTCCTTAGCAGATAGCCTTAGCTCATGCAACACCGATTGCAGCTAATCAAACTCTCTAGTGGCCTGTGCCAAGGCCCTATATCCAGCCTCTGTACTGGAGCGGACTACTACCTTTTGTTTCTAGAGCTTAAAGCAACCAAATTACCACCCAAGAAAATGCAATAGCCTTTTGTGGATTTTATGTCGTCCAAGGAGCCTGCTTAATCTGCATCGGCATTTCCTTAGTTCAGTGGCTGAGGAGAAGAGTAATCGATGTCCTATAGTGCTTTTAAGATATTTTAAAATCCTTTTGCAAGCCTTCCAATGAGTGTGTGTGATTGAATAAATTGACTTAAATTATGGTAGAAAATGATATATCACGTCTACAAGTGAGATATTGCAATGCTCCTACAATACTCCTGTATAAAGTAATATCCTACAATGGTTCTCACATGATTAGGCTTAGCTTGGTACCTTGACTCATAGGAGTAGGACTGCCTTGGACATGAAGCATGGTTTTTTTAGCCTAAAGATTGATAAGCCACGCTTATTAAATTAGCTATGTATATTCATGTTTGACAATCATTATTTCGAAACTCTTTAATTCTCGTACTCATTTTCAACCACTCATTTACACAATAAATATTTTGCGTGTAAACCCAAAAATTTTCCTACTTTTCCAAAAAATCATTATTCAAAACTCCATTTTCTCAAAATAATGGCCATCAAAATGGGGCTAAGTAAGCTAAATCTACCTAAATCTTTTTTTCTAATCTACTTCTACATCTACCTAAGGTCCAGCAAATTAAATCTTCTACAATTATTCCATCTTTATCCATTCAACTGCATCACTAATTTTAGATTGTGATTCTACCACTACAGGTTTATTTTCATGCTATTCCAGATGACATCATTGATAGTCTGGTAAACTTCCTATAGACTAAAGTTGGAAATATTTGTCATCTCCATCCATATCCCTCATTTAATTGTATGAGATATGCATAGCTTGAGGAGGGAATAATTCTCAATGTTGCTGGGGGTTTGATGCTAGAACATCCACTGACTTTACCCTTGGTAGACACAGTGGTCAGTCTCTCTCTCTCTCTCTCTCTCTGTGCCTGCCTGTGTTTGTACCACACAATGAAGTAGTATTAGCTTGAAACTTGTCTTACTGTGTTGCGGTTAATAACTTCATCTTTCTTGATTAATGAGAGCTTTCCTTGTTCCTTGTGGTGGTAAATGCCATTATTTGGCAGCCTCTTAGAGTTGACATTATAGATTCTAAAATCTTCACCTGTAACAAGTTGAGGTGATTTTGACATAGAGGTCTGGAACAAGGCTCAAAGGAGATTGGGCTTCTTCAATGCTAACCTTACAGAAGAACTTGAGAACGATTGAGAGCAAAAGACCATCTCCAATGCTATCCCCCAAAACACCATTTTGCACCAAAAAATGGTGCAACTCTCCAACCTAGCACCATATTTTGCACCATTTTATGTTGCAATACTATTCACTTTGTGGTGTTTCTATTAATTGTATAATATTTTTTAAATTTATTAATGAATTTAATATTTTTTGTGAATTTAACGTAGTAATTTATGTAGTTGTAAAATAAATAATTTTTTCAAATAAATAAATTGTTAAGAATAGAAAAAATGAAGAAAATGATTAAACATCGATCATTTGGTGTAAGTTTAGGTGTAATATGTTGGAGATGAATTTTAGTTTGATGCAAGATTTGATGCAAAATGTTGCAAAACTCATCTCAAATTTTGGTATAGGGTTGGAGATGACTTTAGACTAACCAGTAAAAGGGAAAATAATAACTAATAATAAAAGAACCATAGCCAGCTGTGAACTAATCAATCTGCTCAAATGACAATCTGTTGTGTGTACTATTTGCTATGTGTTTGGTGAGTAATGCGATTTAGTCTCACTAGTTGCTAGTGGGGCTGCGTAACATTATTCGTGTTTGGTTGATTGAGTTTGTTTGTCATTTTAACTGATGCTTTATTTGAAATGGCTTTCAGATTGGAACTTGTGATTGTGTAATGGGACTTTCAAAAACTCTAACAGAGGAGCTTATTCAAGAAGCCCTGTAGAAGAACCATACAGGGACTGCCATTTCTTCGCTATGCAAATTACTCATCAAGCTCTATGTAGAGTATCAAATTGAGTCATTGACTTGCCTTTAACTAAGTCAAAATTGACCCCTAATTTTTCAATTATCTCGCCAAACCAAAAAAAGGAAATGGGCCGTTTCATGTACTTTTGAACTAGACTTGTCATGATTATTGTTTAGTACAAATAATAATAATAATAATAATAATAATAATAATAATAATAATAATAATAATAATAATAATAAATCGTGTACCAATATGACTTACAAGCTCAAATTAGTTATTAATAGAATTTAAAATAAAATCTTAATTTACCTGTACACAGGTGTAGGCATGTGGCACTAACCGTCATTTTTGAAGGGATGCAATTCAACTCTACATTTCCAATTTAAACGTTGTCGTCAACATGATTCCATGTGATTTTTTTCTTGAAGCAATGTTATTTAGCACGTGGTGTTATAATATTGGTCAACACTTAGTGATTCTAAATTATAAAGTTAATTAAATTAGTTATTCATAAAATGACATGTATGATGGTGTTGTATCATCGTTGATTTTACATAACGTGTTTTTTTCTATGTTGTCGTGAAATTCATAAACGCTCATGAAATTGAATATCTGCGCTAAAATAATTATAAAAATGAATGAATTTTCTTAATTCTTTTCACAATTAAATCAAGTAGTTTATCAACGAGCCTAAAATAAGGTCCATTAGAGGCCTTCCGAGAATTTCAGAAAACCTCCTCATTCTCTACCAAATACTCACTCCAAATCTTCTCATAAACCCGTATAAAAATTCCCAGGTATAGTATCTTGTAATTTCAATTTGTTGAGAAACCTTGGGTTTTTTCTATGTAAATGTTGTTGTTTGGTTCTGTATTACCCCACTGGTTTGCTTGTGCATAGAGGCTGCCCTAAGAGTGTACAAGTTGAGTAGGGCCTCATCATTGTAGGGGCACCAAAAAATATTTGGTTATTTGTGAGAGAGAGAGAGAGAGAGAGAGAGTGAGTGAGTGTGTGTGTGCATAATTATATATTTAAAATATTTATTAATTTTCAAATTTAAAATTTTAATTATTATGTTAAGTTAAAGGGCACAATGTTTATAAAAAAGTTTAAAGATAGACAAATGATAAGTTTTAGTTAATATTGTTGTATTTCTTATTCCTAATTATATATCGTATCAATTAAAGCAAGGGAAATGATTCAGATGGTTTAGGCTCCTTCATAGCTAATTTCAGTGTGTTGTGCTTAACTATTTTCATTTTTGGATTATTTCTTTATTAATTGTAGGCATTTGACTTGGTTTGATATGTAAATGCATAATATACTAAAGTTAAGAATAATGTAATTGACTAATTATAATTCTCTTGAATATAATTTTCTTAAATAGTATCCTATTTTAAATAATGAAAGGGAAAAGGAAAAAGAGGAAAAAAATATAATTCGTAAGAAGAAACATTTTGATAAAAATACTACTGTCTAAGGATGCATAATTACTTGAAGATTCTTTCATAACCAATTATTTCCTTTATATAGTATATCAAGCAACTAGATCACTTAAACGAAGGTTCGATCAATTCAATTTATGTGAAATTTTTTTTTTTTGGATTTCTATTTCCTCTGATAAGTTAAACGCATTGGATGATACTAATTTGAAAGCATATTGTGATCGTCTTGACATTGTTCTAAGACATGTAATTTTTTGCAATCTCGTTAGCAAAAATTTATTTCAAAAGTTAAAAATTTTGTAAAATCTTTTACCAAAAGAAACAAAGACAACTTTTGACTTATTGATTTATTTGAAAAGATTTGATCACTTTCCAAATACATTTATTCCTTATAAAGTATTACTGACAATTAATATTATTATTTATCTACCGAAAGAAGTTTTTCAAAATCGAAGTTATTAAAATCTTATTTACAACCAACCATGTTACAAGAACAACGAATGGCCTAGTTTTGATATCTATTGAACAAGATTTGCTACAACATATTGATTAGTGAGTTTGCTTATAGAAATGTGAAGAGAAATATATATACATGATTTATTGCATTTCAAAGTTTACATGTGGTATTTGATGTTTCTAATTTCAAGGTTTGCTTATATGAAACTGCATGAAGCAGGGGTGGATCCAGCATCCGGCGAGTTGGGGCGATCGCCCGCGCTGGATCTGTCGAGAGAAAAGATTAAAGCAAGATTTTATATTAAATATATATAAATGTTAGTGCATAAACGTTATAGGATAAACTAGATAGCTCAAATGGTTGAGTGCTTACTTTCTATGCGAGATGAATGGGGTTCGATTTCTATCGTTGGCACTCTTCCTTTTAATGTTTCTCTTAATTGTTTCTCTTCCTCATTTTTTTTTTGTTTTTTGTTTTGTTTTTGTAATTGGGCTTTTACCTATGTTGGGCTCAATGGGCTGAAAGCCTTCTAACTTCCTTTTTTTTTTTTTGTTCGTAATTGGGCCTTTTGCCTTGGGCTGGAACTTCCCTTTTTTTACTGTTTTCTAATTCTACCTTTTTTTTGTGTTATTTTTTTATTTATGAGTTATAACTATCCTTATGGGCTGAATTTATGATTTACGTTGTATGAATCATGAATTAATTTGGTGAATTGCCATTAAAAATTTGAAATGAGAATTGTGATTTCACTGATTTGTGAATTTGTGATTTGGGGTAAATAATTTATGTTGCACTATTATTTGAATTATGAATTTTAATTTATCATTAATGAGTCATTGAGTTGTGATTTGAGAATTAAGATGCAACAATGTGTACTCTGCCTTTTTAATTAATTGCAATTGAAAAATAAACAATGGCATTTTGTAATTGTAGATTATGAAACGATTTTTTCAACCGAAACGAAAGTTCAGACATGTTTCATTCATATATATATATATATATCACTAATGAGTCATTGAGTTGTGATTTGAGTATTAAAATTCAACAATGTGTACTCTGCATTTTTAATTAATTGCAATTGAAAAATAAACAATGGCATTTTGTAATTGTAGATTATGAAACAATTTTTTCAACCGAAACGAAAGTTTAGCCAAATATATATATATATATATATA